TTAATGTGATGTAAAAAATATCAAAAAAACCATAACAAACAAAATAACAATAATGGTTGATAGTCAAGATGGTATTTTTTCGGGTATCATATCCTTTTGTCCGATTAACAAACGAAATCTCAAAGAAATACGTTAAATAAATAAATTAAAAAAGGAAAAAAAGGAAAAAACGGGAGCAAAAAAAAAAAAATGATTGTTGTTGATGTATATCATTGAAAGTTAATCAATCGTAAAGTTTTTAAAAAACATTTTCTCTTTTTTAAAAGAGGATAAATATGAGGATGGGTATCCATTCTAAAAAGGCTCTTTTACTGCTGCCTTTCGGAAATATTACAACGTTTAATGAAACGAAATGTTTAACGGTTTGGAATGGGACACGGGGAATTTTTTTTTTTTTTTCATTCGTTTCATTATAAAGAAAAATAAATCATTTTTACTTGTCAACAAAATCTTGTATGCCATTTTTTTTTTATTATTTATAAATAATAATCGGGTATTATTAACAAAAAAAAAAAAAGAAAATTTTCCAAAAAGAAAAGTTTTTAAAAACTCGATTCGAACGCCGCCTATCGGGATTTTTAATAACTTTTTTTTCAGTATCGGTCGATGAACGTTATTTTATTTAACAAAAAATAAATATAAATAACTTTTGAAAAATTTTTTTTTTCGAAAAAGAGTTTTAAATTGATGATGATGTGAGGCAGCAGTGTGGCGTTTTTTTTTTTACGCCCGCGTATTAATCGTTTATTTAAATACGCACGCACACGCACCCACGCACTCACGCACAAAAATAATTTTTTATTATATTTTTTTTGAAACCGTTGTTTACATTTAAAACTGTTTTTTTTTTTTTTTTTCGTTTTTATAATTAATTAAAAAAATAAATGTATAAAATTTTTATGAATGATAATAATAATAATAATGAAAAAGATTTAATTTTTGTATATTATGCAGTAAAAAAGGGGTTTAAAGTGAGGGGAATGGGGGGAGGAATGGGGAGAAAAAAGTAAAATAAATGAGGTTTTTTGATTCTTTAAGCAAACAATGCTGACTTGTTGCATAGAAATGAGCTTCTTTCTTAAGAAAAGAAATAACTGTTGGCGCTAATTAACAGAGCAATTAAATGTGAGCACCCAGTGATGAGGCGAAAGTTTACGGCTCCCCAAGGAGTCTTTGTGCTTATCTTTTCCTTCCTCCCTCCCTCCCCCCAACTTCCTCCATACTTTTCTAAATTTTCCAGAGGTTTTTGTACACTTCAATTTATATTCGTTTGTATGAGATAAAATTATTATTCTTTTCTTTTCTACTTTTAAAACTCTTTTATTTAGTTTTTCCTATTATTATTATTATTATTGGATTTATTTATATTTTGATAAACGAAAAAAAAAAGAAACTTTTTATTAATAATGTCACGTGGGGAATATAATTTTTTTTTTGTTCTCCTCGTAAAAGGTTTTTTATATCGAAAAAACATCTTTAAACATTGTTATTATTATTATTATTATTTAAAAACAAAATGTCAGTTAAAAAGGAATAGTTATTGATTAGTTTTTAAGAACTCAAGGCTACCATGCCTACCAAAACGGAAACAGGAAATGGTCTGTCATTTTATAATGCCCTATTTTGGATATGGTGTGCAACCATTTTAAGTTATAGTTATTCGTTTCCGACGTGGGTGGCTGGCAGACGTTTTTCAGTTGTCTTGTCAGGGCTGTAAACATTTAAAAAAAAAAAAAAAAAAATGTGAAACTCGAATGCCTGCATTTAAAAAAAAAATTTTTTTTATATGTTTATTTATTTATTTAGTTTTGATTTCCTTTAACAATTTAAAAAATCACCAAATGAATAATAATAATAATTTTATTTATTTATTTTTTTTGTAAAGAAGAAAAGAAAAGAAAAGGAACAAAGTATAAGTTTTAAAAATAATTAATATGTTTTCAAAATAAAATGATTTCAGTTTAAAATGGTTGTTTGGATGTTCCCGAATTCGACGGATGAAAGCACAAAATCAAAATTAAGGTCTTATTTCTTTTTAAGTTTTGTAAAATTAGAAAATATTTTACAAAAGTTTATCTTTTTTGATAACTTTAACTTATTTTCTTTCCAATTATTTTCATTCCTTTTATTTAATTTAAAATATATATACTACGCGCACGCACACACGTACACACACACACACATGTATATATTCAAATAAGAAATGAAAATTTAAATTATTCTTAACTTGATACATTTATAAAATGCATTTTGCTTAACTTTAAATTTCAAGGCGAGAATTTTAATTTCCTACATTCGAATATACATTAGGTTTTTCTTTTTTCTCTCCTCTTCCCCCCTCTCCCCCCCCCTCTCTCTCTCTCTCTCTCTCTCTTCTTCTTCCTCTTCTCCTTTTTCCACCGTATAATGATATAATTTAATTTTAAATATTTAATAAATCAGACAATGACGTTGAAAAAAAAAAAAAAATGCATTAAATGCATTTAAATAATTAAACTATGAATATGTGACAAAAGGTTTTCAAATGAAAGTTTAAAATGTGCAACGAAGGATTTAAAAAAGGATTCAATTTAAAATCTCGGCATTTGAAATGTCACGAAATGACAGGTGCCTTCATCCCTACCCCCCTCTCCCTCCTCCCTCCTTCCCAAATCCCTCCCCGCAAACACATTTCATTTTTTACATTGCCCCTCCTTTCGATTGATTTTATTTGAAAATATATATATATATATTATATATTTAAACTGCAGCAATCGGATTATATGCATCAACGAATATTTTTTTTTTTTTTTTTTTTGCATCATTTCAAAGGGGAATTCAAACAGCACAACAGCAAAAAAAAAAATTTTAATTTTATTGCAGTTATAATCCAAAACAAACAAACAAACATTTAAAAAAAAAAAAAAATTTTTTTTTTATTTATTATTTTGATAATAAAAAATAATTATTAGTTTTACTATTTAAAAAAAAAAAAACGAAAACAAACGTAAACATTTCTGGAAAAAAAAAAGTTGTGTTTAAAAATAAAAAAAATTTTTTTTTTTTGGAATAGAATATTCTAGAAATTATAACTTTGCCAAAAAAAAAAAAATGGATTACGATAATCCATTGTTGTGGAGAAAAAAAAACAAAATCTGGATTTTATAAGATTAGCCTTTTTTTGTTATTATTATTATTTATTAAAAATGTTATTATTATAATTATTCGATCGTTAAATTTATTTCCGATCATTATATTATAAATTAAAGGAATCGAAAAATGTGTCGTCACGTGACTTTAAAAAAAAAAAAAAAAGTTTATTTTTAAATTAAAATTTTTGTAATTTGATAATTGAATTATGAAATAATGACTATAAAATAAAGTTAAAAAAAAAAAAAAAAAACTTTAACGATGCGAAATCATTGAAAAGTGTAACATTCAATCATGAAGTCGTTAAATTCTCAAGAGAAAATAAAAAAAAAATCACAAAAAGGGGATGAAAAAAAAAAAAGAATGAAAAGGGGTTGAAATTGGGATAAAAAGTGCCGACCCGATTTTTTTTCTTAATAAATATTTCACAAACATCTTCTTGTTTGCTTTTACCGCTTTCTTTTAAACTTTTCTTCTTCTTCTTCTTCTTCCTCCTCTCCTCCTCCTCCTTCTTTTTTTTTACCAGCAATTTAAAAAAAAAAGACGAAAAAAAAAAATTTTTTTTGTTTTTATTTTTATTTTTATTATTCGAGTTTTTAATGATTTAAAAGCCACGCACGCATTTTGTTTACTTATACGTAACTTATAAGGTAGGACATAATAGTAGACATTGTCGGTTACCTTCGGCTTCATTCGTTTCCTTCGTGTAAGAGAGAGAAAGAGAGAGAGAAAGAGTGGGAGTGGGAGAGGGAAATAGAGAAAAGATAGGAGGAGGGAGAGCGAGAGAGAAATTAAAATAGTAAGAGAAAGAAAGAGAGAGAAAGAGTGAGAGAGAAAGAGAGGGAAATAGAAATGGAGGGACTTTCAACTTCCCGGTTCTAAGCGATTTAGAATATTGAGCTTTTCTCATTCGGAAGCTTTCTTAATTCACGTTTTCATTTTACATGTCGGTTGGTGGTTCCGGTGGCGTTTCGAGAATCCGAAATTTCTGTCAAAGCGAGTAGAAAAGCAATAAAAAGTGAGATAGATTAAAAGGGTTGCGGAGAATGAATTAGTGCTTCTGCTGCTGGTGCTGCTGCTCCTGCGAGGGAGCCCGATGTGCTGCTGCCGTCGGGGGGATGGTCATTCCATCTGTCCGAGGGTGAATGCGTCGTGGACGACTTTCAGACCTAAACCTTTGCCGCTAGATTACAACCGCATGCGATTGTGCGTGTGTATACTCATATCACACTCGAGTTGTTGTCTTCGGTTCCAACTTTACCCCGCGGGTCTAAGACGTTTAACTTGTTCTCTTTGTTAATTATTTTCAATTTTTAAAAAAAATCGCGAAAACTTTTTTTTTTTTTTTAAATAATAATACCAAGTGACTGTCAGTGGGTTCTGCAGTGCGGGAAATTAAAAAAAAAAACGTGAACGAAGAAAATTTCAAAAGAATTGTTTTGATTTTTACTAAACTCATTCGTCATTCATCTGCCAATCAACTCTACCATTTTTTCCTCCTTTTTTTTTTAATAAAAGAAAAAAGGAAATTTCATCATTCATTTTTTTTTGTAACATTTTTTGACCTTTCAACCTTCTTACATCCTTTTAAAAAAAAAAAATGCGTATAAAATATTTGAGTAGAAATATTACATTGTGGCAAAATTTTTTTTTAATTTTTTCCGTCGCAATAAAAAGTTATCAACGAGTGATTATGAAATGATACGTTCGCAAATACAAATACCCTTAATTATTATTATTATCGGTGAGGGCTCTTTCAACCCTCGCCTCATCGAATAATAGCCACGATTGCTTCGGACGTGACGATTTGGGGCTCAAAAGCCCCTTTAGATTGCAAAAGCAGTCTTGAGGTTTATCGCCGACAGCAAAATATGCATTTAACGGGTGCCACACCGACGCCGGGTACGGCTTCTTCTCCCGAAGGTACCGCATCGGTCCTTAACGAAACCTACACTAAAATGACGTCGGACATATTGGCCGAAAGAACTCTTGGAGATTTTTTATCCGAACATCCGGGAGAACTCGTACGAACGGGGAGTCCGCATTTTGTGTGCACGGTTTTACCTCCTCATTGGAGATCAAATAAAACTTTACCGGTCGCATTTAAAGTTGTAGCTTTAGGAGATGTTATTGATGGTACTTTGGTCACGGTGAGAGCCGGAAATGATGAAAATTATTGCGCCGAATTGCGAAACGGAACGGCGGTAATGAAAAATCAAGTCGCAAAATTTAACGATTTGAGATTCGTCGGCAGAAGTGGACGCGGTAAGTTTTTATTACTTTATTTAACATTAATAATAAAATTTTATTTATTTATTTATTACCGGGTAATAATAATAATAAACGATAAGAGATAAATTTTTAAATAATAATCTATTAATTAATAGATTAATTTTATTTAAATAAAAATTACAAAAAAAATTATTACTATCAAAACTTTTTTTTTAATCACAAAAACGATTAACAATGTTTAAAAAATTTCCACAAAATTTATTAAACTTTAAAAAATTAATAAACAATTAAATAAAAACTTTAATAACTTTAATAAATTTATTTAAGAAAAATTATTACTATTAATTCGACAAAAAAACTTATTAACACAAAAATATAAATTCACTATAAAAAAAAAAAATTTTTTTCATTGATGTCGAAGATTCCACGTGGCAAAAGACAAAAAAAAATTGTTCAGACGCCACGCGGTCTTTTGTTAGAATCGTTTTTCACGTCGGAAAAACTCCGTGACAAATATTTAAAAAAAAAGAAAAAAGAGGGAAAAAAAGAAAGAAAAAAAAAGGGAGGGAAAATAAAAAAAAGTTTTTCTTTTTAAGTTTGTTGCGCAAGACCAAAAAAAAAAAAAATGACTAAAAGTTTTTTTTTTTTTTTACAACCTCATTCACGTCATTTTCAACCCTCTCAACCCTTAAAAAAAAAAAATTTTTTTAAATCGAACTGCAGGGAAAATAAAGAAGTTTCTTTTGATTTTTTTTTTTTTTTTCGTCTTTGACCTAAAGAATTTTTTTTTTACTTTCTCCCTCCCTTTCCCCCCAAAAAATAAAAAAATTTCATGTAAAAAATTTTTTTCTTCACTTTTAGTGACTTCCCCACCTCCCTTTTTTTGTTGCATGGGGTGGTCGCTTATATCGACCCATTAATTTCACTCCCCCCGGCCTCCCCCGCCCCACCTCCCGTCTAACAGTGCAGTAGTACACATAATGCATTGTTTTTTATCTTCCCATTCCTTTATTCAGTTTTTTCCGTACCCTTTCGCACAGTTTTTCACATTTAAATTATATATATTCTAGAATTTTCGAGAACATAACATTTGCATGAAAACAATTTAAAAATTTTTCATTTTGAACCCCCTGTTTTTGATTTTGTTAACAAACAAACGCCCCCTCCCTCCCTCCCTCCCTCAATGATGATGCATTTTGCATTTGCTGCTGCTGCTGCACATCGACACAAAATAAAATTATATCCTTTTTTCCCCCAATTTTGATTCGGGAAAAAATCCCATTCGGGATTCATTTGGGGTAGTTTTACTGTTTTTTAAATAAAAAAAAAATTTCAATATTATTATTATTATTATCATGAGTTTTGTTTTAAAATTTCTTAGGAATTAAAATATGAGCCAAAGAATAAGGTGAGGAGGGGTTTTTTTTTCTAGAAAAAAAGGTAAAAAAAGGTAAAAAAAAAAAAAAGGTTTTATACGTATGCCAATAAATAAGGGGGAGTTTAAAGTAAAAAAAAAAAAAAAAAAGTTGAAATGGAGTGACGAAGGGGTTGAAATATATCATGTAAGGGTCAGGAGTACAGATATAATTAACGAGACCGTAAATCACTCTTGTGCAACAACAGCGTTTAAAATGAAGGTGAGAGCTGTTGTTTGAGAGAGAGAGAGAGAAACAACAGGAGGAATATAAAAAAAAAAACTCACTCACTCACTTTTACCTCTTTCAACCCTTATTTTGTTCTCTTTTTTTTTTTCTATCCCTCGGGAAAAAATTAAAAAATAGATAAAAAAAAAAAACTAGGCAAAAACCGGAAAACTTTTTTTTTTTATATATGTAAATAATTTTGTTGTTTGTTTGTTTGTTTTCAGGTAAAAGTTTTACATTAACTATAACGATAAGCAGTTCACCCCCACAAGTTGCAACATATACGAAAGCAATTAAAGTTACCGTCGATGGTCCAAGAGAACCCAGATCGAAAACAAGTAAGTTAATTATTTATTTATTTATTTATTTATTTATTAATAATGTCAATAAAAGAAGAAGAAGAAGATGAAAAAAATAAATAAATAAATTTTTATTGTCGTCTGCCGACAGTAAAGAAACAGTATCCCTTTTGTCAATGTAATACAACAACATCCACACCCTTCATAAAGTCGGTATATCTTTTATTTTTGTCGGCGGCATTTCTTTTTAAGTCTAGCGCCTCCTTCTATCTTTTTTTTTCTCCCCGGATTTAAAAAAAAAGAAACAGTTTCTTTTTTCTCCATCCCCCCCCAAAAAAAAAAAAAAAATTTTTGGTTTTTTTTTTATTTAATTTTTAATTTTTTCCAGACTAAAGTTTTTTTTAATATTTATTTATTAAAGGGTTAAATATTTTTTCATCTGCTTTTTCTTCCCCCCCTTTTTCCCCCTATCTTCTTTCCCCCTTTCTTCCTTCCCCACTCCCCAATCATCTTTTTCGTTCGTTAAAAGTTAAATAAAAACGATTTTTATTAAAAAAAAAAAAAAAGAAAATTTTGATTGATTGGCATAAAAATATAGGCGGGAAAGGGGAGGGGGCGGGAAAATTGAAGGAAATTCTCACGTTAAATTATATTTAAATCATAAATAAAACATAAAATTTTCTAATAATAATAATAATGATAATGTACGCAATCAATAATTTTTTTTTTTTGTAGTTTTTCGGATGCACGAAATCATAATTTAAAAAATTTTCTCATTTTTATTATTATTATTAAAATCGTTAAATTTAGTTTTTTTTTCTAGTTTGATTTGATATAAATAAAGTCAAAGGTTAAAATTTGGATAATACTAAAAACAATTATGATTCGCCGCCATTTTTCTATATTATTTTTATTCCGATTCATAATTTTTTCCTCGGAAAATTTTTTTTTTTGATTTAAATTTTATTGCGTGGAGGTTGATCAAACAACGAAATGGCGGCGGAGAAAAAGAGAGAGAGAAAAAATTTAAAAAAACAATTTTTTTTTTGAAACTAAAGAAAAAATTTTTGTTTAAAAACCGGGGAGGGGGGGGCTGGAAAAGAATTTTTGGAATACATACCTAAGTAAACGTCCGTGTGTGTTTGTGCGTGCGCGAATCCATATATGTGAGTGTATATACAAAGGTTTGTATGTAAAAAAAAAGAAAAGTTTTTTCAGGATTAAAAGGTTTTACGTCGTCTCTTCCAACAGCAAAAGAAGAGAAAAATAATTTTTAAGGGTAAAAAAGATAGTTTCAGGGGAGCCACGTTAAAGTTGCCGAGTGAGTCCAAACCGCAGAACCAGATGCTGTGTATCTCATGATTCCGTTAAAATTTTCACATAAATTGTTTATCATTATAATTATTATTATATAAGGATAGTAGGTCTTTTTATAATAAATTTGTGTGAACGTAAAAAGAATTTGAATATCAAACGTTTTCCCTATGACTATATATTTCTTTTTATATTTTTTTTTTGAAGAAAATATTTTGCTGGACAATTTCTTTCTCTCTTTCCATTTCTCTTTCTCTCTCTTTTCCTCTGCATGCTGGAAATCTTTTATTTTACAGCTATCTCAGCAAAATTCTGACAATGCTTTACTAATTTCCTGTAGGCACAAATTTCTTTTAATTAATCAATAATTTTTTAACTTGTATAAAAAAAAAAATTATTTTTCGTATATACATAAATGAAAAACATGGTTTTTTGTTTGTTTGTTTGCTTTTTTATTTTATTTTTTTTAAATTCAGGTGAAAGAGAAAAATAAAAGGAAAGAAATATATTATTATTATAGTTTTAGTGAAATGCGTAGATATTTATATAAATTTAAAGTTCTGTCACCGCCGCAACAATATTAAAAGTATTATTTTTACTTTTGTTTTAAATAAGAAACGAACGACTCCTGTCATGAGAAATATTTTCACGTTATTACAATAATTAATCATTATTCCCTTATACCCTTACGTTTTAAAGTCTTACAGAAAATTTTACAAAATTTTAGAAAATTTTTAAATAGCAGTTGTAGTTGTATTCTGGCATTTTAGGCAGAGAAAATGATAAAGGAGGCAAATAAAAGAAGTTTCTGGTAAAATTCATACAAAGAATAAATAAATATAGAAAAGAAATATTGTAATGAAGAAAATGGAAAATAGACAATAAATAATTACAAGTAGACAGGTTATGGGGGTTTTAATGGCGTATCCGAGACCCCAAGTTGACTTATGATATTTCAGTTGCCAAAATATAATGCAAGTTTTAATTTAAAAATTTTTTTTTTTTCTTTTCGTAACAATTATTTTCTCTCTCTCTCTCTCTCTCTTTTTCTGTCGGTCAATCAATCAAATTGTTATGGAACAGCCTGCATTCCCCTTTTCATTGAAGTGATTTCTCTTTTAGGGCAACAACAACAATTTCATGCCTTTGCTTTCGGTCAGCGACCATTCATAGGAGGACATTTTGGAAATCCTTTGGATCCCCTACAAAGAACTGCCGATCCTTTAGCCTTCAGAATGCCTGCAATGCCTAATTGCCAAAGTAAGCATTTATTATTATTATTATTATTTTTATTTTTATTTTATTTACGATGCATATCCGTTTCGCGTTGTTTTAATAAAAAAAAAAAAGGGAGAAAAAAAGGGGGAAAATTTTTTTTAATTATTATTTTTGAATAAACAATTAATATAAGGAAAAATAAATTTAAATATATATTTTTCAAACCGTGAAACAAAAATATTAAAATATATTAAAACAGATGAAAAATTCTTTTTTTCATTTTTTACAAAACAACAACGAACGCCGCCACGGAAAATTATTAAATATATATTTTTTTTTTAATTTGCCATTCAACCCTCTCTCGTTTTATTTTTTTTTTTTTGCATGTATGTATATCGGTGAAAGAGGAAAATTCGATAAAAAGCGAAAGCCGAAGGGCAGGTACCCCAAAAAAAAAAAAAAGCAATGCCGCATTCTCTTTATGATTGCACAAAAAAGAATTTTTTTTTTTAAAAAAACCATTTTTTATGGGATGAGTTTTAAAATTCCTCCTCATTTTCATTCATAAATTTTTTATTATTACATGTTTTTAAATTTGACTTCCCTTATCGAACCTTTATTATTATTATTATTATTAATAAATAAATTCGTGTTATGAGGGAAAATAATAATTTAAAAAAAAAAAAAGTTGAGTCGTGCTTGCACAGGTGAACATGGAGCAAATCAAACAATAAAATTTTGTTTTTCTTTTCATTTTAATAATTTTCTATTTGTTGATAATAATAAATTTTTATTAACGTGTCAATAGAATTTACAAAAAAAAAAAATTTGCGAGAATACGTTGAAAAAACAAAAAGAAAAAGTCATGATTGACACGATAGAAATAATATCATTGCATACTTATGAGGAAAAACCTTTGTCTTAAGAATTATAAAATGTCTAATATCATCAATATTTTAATTATGAATATGTCAATCATTTTACGTTTACTAAAATTATTGTTATTTGATTCAAAATATATAAAATTTAAATTTTTAACTTAATTATAAAACTAATATTTTATATTATTTTATTTTTTAGTTAATTTAATAATATTTCATGTTTCACATTTTTTATTATTATTATTATTATTAAAAATAACAATTCATTAGTTAAAAATTTTAAATGGGAAAACATTTCAGTAGTTTCTTCTTATTTTTTGTAGCGCCGTAGGATTTGTTTTATAAAATGTTATGAAAAATTTTTTTATATTTTTTCCAGACATGTCGCAATTTGGTCTCAGCACCGGAAATGCACATTGGGGATACAGTGCTGCCACACCTTACACTTCATATTTAGGCTCGGGGGCTTTGAGTAGCTGCGGAACCGGAAGTTTTAATCCTTCTTTAGGTTTTGCAACGTCGGGTGAACAAACTCCAGTCGGACACGAAGGTTTTGGTTCTTCAACGGCCGTTAGTTCACGTGAGTATAAATTATATTTATCTTTATGTCGGGTGAGAACAAGGGGAAAAATTCTTGGAGAGAGAGAGAGATAACGGTGAGTTCTGGTTTCCAGTATTGCCAGACACGACGACGGGATCAGGTGGGAGTCTCAATGTTGTAGGAGATTTAGAACAACAGTTGGGCGGTTTAGTTTCATCTCATCAACATCAGAATCAAATAAATCAACAGCAATCGGAAAGAACATCTTCCAATTCTTCTAATAGCGGGCTTTTAGTGCCTAGGTATCCGAATTCATCCGATTACGGATTAGGTACAAGATCGTTATCGGATTCTTCAGCAGGAGAAAGTCCCGTCGGAGATGATCTTCTCGGTGGGAATACGAATTCTTCAAATTCTTTTTCTTGCTCTGCCGCCGGTTCATTTTCACAATATTCAAGTTCGGGAAGTAACCTTTATCTCGGGACTCCCGTTTTACCGGCATCTTTGTTATATTCCCAACTGTACAATGCCGCTAATCAAAATCACGCTCAATTTCATCACCTTCATCACCATCATCATCACCATCATTCGTCTGCTACGGATCAAGATTTACAGAATGTTATGGATCATCTTAACCAGAGACAAAATTCTGACGATCAAACCCGTTTGGGTTCGGGGGTGCAAAGAACCGTGCATTCGGCCGCGGATTCTTCGGGGGTTTGGAGGCCATATTAAAAGGGTAATAGGGTGGTTATTTATGACGTTGGTGATGGTGTGTGGTGGTGGTGGTGGTGTTGGTGATGTGCCACATAACTCCTTCGATAACGACTTTCTTACCGTTGGAAAAATGTTTTGTTTTCTTTGTTTTTTCGTTTTGTTTTATTTTTCTCCGTTTTCTTTGATGTTACTTAGAAAATTTCGTAGTTACCAAACATAATTTTTTTCTTTTGTTTCATTTTTATAAGAGGGAAAAAATATTATTTGCTCGCATAAATATTAATAATAATAATAATAATAATTAAAGAAAAAGTTTTTAAACAAAAGATTTTTTTTTTTCTTACCAAATTTTATTTTATGAAAAAGAAATTTAATTTTAGAGTTTTTGTATTAAGAAAAAGAAATAAATAAAGAAGATCAGTCGACTGATATATTTATCTATCTATCTAATTATTATTATTATTATTATTATCGTGAATGGTAGTAGGTGAAAAAGACTTTTGATGATGAATATAATAAAATAGGGGATGCTCGTTAAAATATAGAATTTATAAAATCGATTTTTTATTTTCTTCTGCTTCTTTTCTTTTGTTTGTTCCCTCTCCCTTTTGTTGTATTATTATTTTCCTTATTATTATTATTATTATTATTATGTTTGATTTTTTATTTGCGAAAATATATTATATAAATCACACACGCGGAAAAAAATATTTAATAATAATAATAATAAAGAAAATTAAAGAGGCAGAAAGTATAATAGTAAATATTTATTTATTTATTTATTAATATTATTAACCGGTTTTTTTTTAATAAATAACGAGGAGTCAACATACGTCATTCATTTTATTTATTATTATTATTATTATTGTTTTTGTGAATATTTAATAATAATCATTATTTTCCACGAGTAAATTATAATTTTATTTTTTATTTTTATTTTTTATTTTTGGCGATAAATTTCCATTTACGAAAAGATGATAAAAATAAGAAATTATTATTATTATTTATATTATCGTTAATAATTTATTATGCGAGTAATAATAATAATAATAATAGTTTTAAAGGGTAAAATAAGTGTGGATAAAAAAAGAGAAATAATTTTTTAAAATTACCGACGCTTTCGAGAAAAATTCAAAACTATTATTATTATTATTATTATTATTATTTTTTGTTTATCAATAATTAATAAAAGTGGGGTGGAGGTATGTGGGAGAGGGGAGGGAGGAGAGAGAAAATTATTAAAATCGGTAGTGAGAGTAAAAGGGTAAAATAAAAAAAATATTTTGTTGTGTTTTTTTTCGGGATAAAATTTAATTAATTTCAAGAGGGAAAAAAAAAAATTTATTTTTATTTTTTTTATTTTTGGTTAATCAACGTTTTTCAGTTTCTTTGTTTTTAAAAAATAGGTCAACAAAAAAAAACAAAATGGATGCCAATTTGACTAAAATATTTTTTGGAAAAAAAATTTAAAAATGGAGAAAACGGAGAAAATGATGGAGAAGAAAAACTTAAAAATTCTTTGGATTCAAATGATTAACATTATTTGAAATTTAAACAAACACACAACCTTGGTAAGTTTTCATTTATTTATTTTTCTAAAAGAAAATAAAAGAAAACGTTTTGTAAATTTCTAAGAAAAGTTTTGTCGGTTTTCTTCGTGACGTCGTAGTTTTTTTAGCAAAAAAAAACTTTTAAAAAAAGTTTTTTCCTTATTTTTGTGCGCGCGCTTTTTTTTCTTTCTCGTTTCCGTTTTCTTTGAATTTTTCTTCTAGTTTTTTTTTCCTTTTCCTTTTCCTTTTTTTTGTTAAAAAGAAAAAAATCTTAAATGTTTCCCTGTCCGCCATCTGAAGGAAAGAAAAGAAAGTTAAAAATTATAAAAAAGAAAGTAAAACCGACTAGGAGCGCCGCACCCGAGGACTTTTATCACTTACAAAAAAGTATTAAAAAATAAGAAAAAGAATTCTCGAAAGAAAGCAGAAGAGGGAGAAAGAAATAAAAAAAAAAAAGTAAAGAAACTCGGGAAGTTTATAAGAAAAAAAAAGGAAAAAAAAACAAAAGGAAGAAAAAGTTAAAAAACTAAAGGGCTCCGAACATCCACCATTTTTCTTTTCTTTTCTTTTCTTTTTTTAAATTAATTTGTTATTTTAAATGAAAATATCACAAATTTAAATTGTAATAATTTATGCCTAAAATGAATCATTATTATTATTATTGTTATTATTATCGACATGGCGGTTTTTATCGATCTACCAAAATTTTCATCAATATGGAATCCCCCCAATTTGAGATTTTTTCCTCTTTTATTTTTTGAGTTTTTTATTTTTTTATTTTAATCCTTTGACGCAGTGAAATTATATAAAAAATTTAAATAGATATCATTAGGGAAAATAAGAGAGAGAGACTGCATACGGTCCTGAACCCGTATTTCCTCCCTCGTTAAAGGGTTGGATCGCATGCATACATAATCACTTTCCTACTCTGGTTAATGTTCTCACATTTTCATTATAATTCTAAGGATAAAATCTTGAGTGAATTATCTGACTAAACCTTTTCCACCTTCTTTATTCTTCTCTCTCACTCTTTCTCTCTCCCTCTCTCTCTCTCTCTCTCTCTCTTTTAGAATTCTTTCTTTTTAAATTCATCTCTTTTCTCCCATTTTCCATACCGAGACCTGTTTTCTCTTTTTCGGTTTTCAATTTCACCTTAATGCCCTATTCCTTCCTTCCTTTTCCTCCCTCACTGCCTTGCTCCCCTTCCCCTTTCCAATTCTTAAAATTCTGTCGTCATATGTTTGTTGTTTCTCGTTTCCATTTTGCGGAAGTAATTATTAAATACATATTTTAAATCGAACAAAGTTAAATTTTGTTTATTTATGTTCTCTCTCTTTCTTTCCCCCTCCATTATCTATTTCTTTCTCTTTTTTATTATTATTATTATTAAAAAAGAGTTGTTGTTTTTTTTTTCATGTCAAACAAGAATTGAAAATCATTTATTGGATATTATTATTCAAAACAAAAAAGAAATTTTTTGACACGAGGGTGTGGGTCGCGTCAATCAAAAAAAAAAAAAAAAAAAAAGTAAAAGAACGTATCGGCAAAGAACTTTATGTCACATGCCATCCCTTTTTTGCTTTTTTCTATTTTCTCCCCCCTCTTTTGCGGTTTTCACCTTTAACCGCAACCAATCAACTCTAAGCTAAAACTCAGTAACACTTTCTTTGGACAAACTCTTTAGGAAAAGGTGGGCACTGAGAAAAAACCGCAGATCTGCGCAAAAGTCGAGGGAATAAATGAAAAAAAATTCGCTTTTAACTAGACATTGAATTATGTGGGAAAAAAATGGAAGAAGGGAAGGAAGGAAGAGAGGGAGAGGAAAATTCTCTCACTCACATTTTTAATTTCTTTAATTTTTTTTTTTTTTTGCTACGATGAAAAAATTTTACTTTTATATATATTTGTATATTTACTAATAATTTTTCTTTTACAACCGTGACACGTCACACGCAGTAGGGTACGTTCAGAAATTTTCATTTTGCTCCCTCCCGTTTAAATACCCAGAAAAAAAAAAAACAAAAATTTTTTTACCGCGAAATTTAAATTTTATCGCTCGTTTTTCGTACACGATTATCATAATTTTTTAAAAATGATTTTCTTCCTCCTTCCTTCCCCTTCTCCCTCTACCTCGGATGGCTCATTTTATTTTGTTTTTTTTTTTTTAAATAAATAAAAGGAGAAGAAGAAAAAGATAAACGTGATGAAAATTGTTAATGAAGTTGAATTAAAGTAATTGAAAACTTGTTAATAATTAATATAAAATAGAATTAGTAAAAATTATAAAGTATATAGAATACGTTAATATAATGATGAGTGAAAGGCCTTAAAGGCACCGCAGGAAGCAAAAGGAGAGAGAGAGAGAGAGAGTCTAAAAAGGTGAAAAGGAAGTGAAAAAAGGTTTTTTTTTTTCTCCATAAGAATAGGGCGAGAAAGTCGGAAAATACGAAGGCAAAGGGCAAAGTAAACCACTTGAAATTAATTAAACCTTTCAAAATTTCAATTCCCTTCATTTTTTCCACCCTTAAATTTTCGAAAAATCTTTCAACCAACCCCTCTTACTCTCTTTTTAGTTTTCACTTTTTCTTCTTCATCTTCTGAAGCAACCATTTTTCCTCTCCTGACTTTTTAACTCTCTCTCTTTCAAAAAACATTTTCCCAATTTTTTTTTCTTTTGGTTTTAAATTTGCAATAAAAACACTTTTTTTTTTTGAAAAAATATGAAAAGAAAATTTTTACCGAAAGACATAAATTGGTAGAAAAAAAAAAGTTTTAAAAAGAACTCTCTGTACTCTGGGGATTTAAGAGAATTTAAAAAAAAAAAAAAAAAAGCGCGCGCGATAAAACCGGAAATTAGTTTTGCATTCTTTTCTATATACTCATACCATATAAAATAAAACAAAACATTTGTAATATTTTTTAAAAAAATCATGATATCTCTCTCTCTCTCTTTTCTCGTGTTTTTCTCGGTTTTTCTAATGGTCGTCGAACAATGTCAATAATTTCAAGAAGACAAAGCTAATTTGTTACTCTATTTTCCCATTTCCTTTCCTCTCCCTTCGTTTATTCTTCTTTCCTTTTTTTTTTTTTAACTTTTGCGCAGCATCCCTCCTCCTCTTTCCTTTCGCCGGATTTTTTTTTTCTCATTTCCTTTTTTTTTTTTTTTTTTTTTTTTTTTTTTTGAATACCCTTAGAGGCAGTTTTTTTTTTGTTTTTCCCTTGCGAACTCACTTTATGAATCGTATTTCATTTTTTGATGTTTGAAATTTTTTTTTTTTTCCCCGAATCATATTTTACCAATATAATAATAATAATAATAATAATAATAATAATATTTTTATATAAATTTTTTTTTTTTTTAATTAATAGGAAAATAAAAACAAATTTAATTAAAAGGTTAAAAGGTTTAAAAAAAATAAAAAAAAAATTTTGGAGCTGATAAAATTAAAAAATTCCTTTTTTATTTTG